TCAGGCGCTACTATCTTTGCTGTAAACAAAGAGCTCCCAGTTCATAAACCCTGGTGTCTGATATTCGGTTTTCAATGTTTTAGACCAGAACACTACATGGAAACTTGTCCACACTGCTGGATGGGTCTAAAAAGGGCCTTGAAGCAACACCCCGTTGGGAGCCTGATCCTGCCCTTAAAGCTCCCACCTGAATGAGCTCAGCTCCACGCAAAAGATTTTAAGGTCTGGCTCTTTACATGCAAGGCTGACATGTACTGTGCAGTCTTCCGTTAGCCCTATACTGGGGCCTGCCTCAGGAGCACACACCAAATACATGCACGTGTCTGTAATAAAGAGATTAGAGAAAGTAAAGCTTAAGCAATAAAACTAAAAATGCAGCCCTCGCAGTGGGAGGCAAGGGAAAGGGGAAAGTAAAATCCCAACCACACTCCCTCCACCCCCTCCCAATTCTGCCTAGAAGAGAGACTATCCTTGTTGCCCGCGTGCTCTGACCTACCCTCGGATCTCCAGTAAAATTATAGTTTAAAAAGCTTGCTGAATGAAATTAGTAAGGTCAAAAGAGACTAAATTTCAAAACTGGAAACACAGTTTACTACAGTAGTACATTCAGTTTATCAGTGACTATGTCAAGACATAACAGTTTTTGGCTGCACTCACGCAACTCAAGCACACTGACCAAGCATCTCAGGTTGCAGATCTGCTTGGCAATGCAAGGCCATGAATGGCATTCACATCATCCTACAAGCCAAACGTTAAATAGGTTTAAAAAATTCTAAATTTTACAGAAATGCTCATTTTCAAAAATAATATTCTCTTGCCCTCTTCCTTCTACATTGAGGGGCATGTTAATAGGTCATTTCACTTTTCCTCTTGTCAAAATGCTAATTCACAGCCCCAGAACTGATTTCAAGCAGGAAACCCTCTGCAAATTAAAAACAAAAAAATACAAAAATTATAATCTCTATATTTATATTGATTGGAATCCTCCAGCATTTGTGAAATCACTTTGAGAGATGAATTTTGGGATGCTCCCCAACTTCTCCACAACTCCGATTCAGTATTCGCCTTCCCGAATACCTCCTCTTTTTCAGTCTGCCTTCTCTGCTGCTCTTTAGTCCACAGCTCAATTTAAAGAGAGAGAAGAGAGTTGGACGAGTTTTACTTTGGTGATCGGGGCGGCACGTACTGCTCCTTGCCGATACGCCGCGGTGCTCCCTGAGGCGATGACCTGCGTCCAAACTGACGCCTCTGTTCCCTGATTTTCCCAGCAGCTCCCCTAGGAGGCCCATTGCCTCTGAACCCAGAGTAATCCTTCATTCGGCCTTCAAGCTTCTCTTGGGGCCTTTCCAAAGCCTTTTCAGGAGTACCGTTTTCTTCATTTTTGGCAGGGGAAACAATGTTGGTACGAAGCTCCCTCAGTGGCTGAACAGGACCTGGCGTCGGCTCCTTTGGGGGTTTCTGGCAAACTTCGGCATAGCTTAGCTTGCGTGGTTCCTTTGGATGCCAAAGGTAGAAGAACATCATTTACCCATCAGGAAGACCACCCCAGAGTAGCTCCTCCTGAACACCCCAGACACATCATTAAGAGAGCACAGAACAAGACAGCATGCTCTGGGTATGAAGGCAGCGTAGCTTGACCCTAGAACCTGCAAGGTTCCAGTCTGCCCTTGGGCTGGCGTGCCACCCTCTCTCCTTGGAGCAGGGAGAAAGCTACCACCACTTCCCCAGGTTCCCCCTGCACTAGCAGCACCAAGCATCTCACACAAGCCAACCAACCTCACCTGTACTGTCACAGCAGGTGCTGCATTTGCATTGGTAGAGGATGAAGTGGTATTTGTCCTTGGTGGTTTCGCAGCAACAGGACAGAAAGACACAGGTGGGGAAGCATGGCTTGTTGCTTCTTTCTCAGCAGAAACCTCGTCTGGCTTGCTGTCGGTCTGAGTTGTGCTGATCAAAATCAGAGTCAGCATTAGACCCCCATGACTTCAGCTTTTCAAATGCTACCTCCCCCACCCCCCACTTTCAAGTCACTGCAGCTTTCACCAAGCAGGACGGCCACAGCTTTTATCCCCAAGCTTTAAGAATAGCCAGCAGCTTTCCAGCAGCCTAGAGGCCTCAACAGCAGGGAAGGAAGATACTGCAAGGAAGGAAGATACTACCTCCTCAGAGTAACAGCCATTCACACACTTACACAACAGCATATTTTTTAAACAACACACCTTAGCACAGGATCCTCAGTCCTGCTTGGCGAACTTGCACTTGTGACAGGCTGCTGAGCTGTACAAGGCGTCTGCTCTTCTTGAGCAGAAGCTGGACAAGTAACTGGCAAGTCCTTGCTCTCCTGCAGAGAATACAGAAGTTGTAAGATTGCAGAAGGGATTAAGATTAAGCTTTATGGGGACTAAAATGCAACTTAAATATCAAGAAACTGAAGCATACAGCAGTGGTACTAAGATGCACTACAGCTTAGGGATAATGCACTCATGTGAGCAGCACCCCATTTACATCTGGTGAAGGAAAATCTGCGATGAGAACAAAAAGGCAAGTGATGGTCATAGGTGCTCTTGCTTAAGTTGGGCACTTCTTGAAAGCCAGTCAACCCAAAAAAGGAATTCGAGAAAGCCATGCCACAGAATCAACAATACACACAGGGTTGTTCAGGCCTGCAAGCCAGTCTCATTTACAGCTCTAACAGCATAAGCCTCAAAAAGTGTTAAGGAAAAGTAAAAGAAAGAAGTTAACTTTGGTAACATGCACCCCAGAGGTACCTTCTCTTTGCAGATTCCTTTCACAACATCAGACATTCTGCTCTCCAGCACAGGCTCTCCTTGCGTTTTTGCTGTGCTGCCAGGCAGAGGGGGAAAGTTGGATGCAAGCAAGTCAAACTTTGGTGTTGGAGCCTTCGTTTCTGGCAAAGGCTGGGGTCGCTAGGAGAAGAGAATACCTGTTAAAAGACATACTGTCTACTTGATCTGATATGGTCATGGCAATGCAGTCCCTGGTCAGCTACTAGACAGATTTCCAGGGAGCACTGTACCCTACAGGATGCAGTCTTAAGGACAGAGGGGGCCCACCATTCTCAGTCAGTACATAGGCTGCATTTGCTACTGTAGTGATACTTTTCAAATAAGGTTCAAGACTAAAACAGGTTTGGGTTAGATTCCCTCCCCACCCCTCCCCATCAGCACTTTAATAAGAGCCAAGGGTGTTAACTACACTTTCCTGGTCAAATTCAAGCCACAAGTGTTTCACTCGGCCTCTCTGGGAAAGGGGATCTCTTGCCATCCTACCCTCTTTTAAAGGGAAGGACAATGGGAATAAGTTGAGTTGAGAGCCATCTAGCGGTTAGTGTGCAGAAACCTACTTTTGAAAGAAAACAGCAAAAAAGGTTTCCTGGATTCTTCTACAGCAGTGGCTGCCAACCTTGGGTCATGACGTGGGTCTGCCCCTCACTCCACCCCTCCTGCCTGTGGGGCTCTTCTGGCGCACGGTCCGCAAGGCTCTTGCCGTCACTGCCCCCCTGTGATCCCGGCCTGGGCTCTGCTGGTGCTGCCGGGCAGGAGTGAGTTGGTGGCAGGGGTCATGACCCAGATTTAGGGTCGCAGCAAAAAAAAAAAAAAGGTTGGGAGCCAATGTTCAATAGCTTAAAACAGTGGTTTTCAACCTTTTTAAAACTTGTGGATGCCTAAAAAATTTCAAATGAAATTGCAGGCCCCTCTGAATCGCAAATGTGAGTATTCACATACTTTTGATTAATCATAGTCATCTTCTGTGGACCCTTTAGACAGTCTGTGAACCTACAGGATCCCCTCAGACCACAGATTAAAAACCACTGGCTTAGGGAAAACATGCTCTATGAGGACAAGAAGCAACAGCTTATAACTAAGGGATGGACATATCTTCTCTCTCATGTGGCAAAGATGCGCATCTTGCTTCCCAACCAGCAGCAGGTATCCTCTTTTTAATCTCATGAAGTCTTAAGCAAAGAATATGTTGCTGCCTGGGTCTTAAGACCATTTATCCATTGCAATAGCAGATGCGCAACTTACTGAAATCCTGTCATCTTCTCGCCTTCTTCGACCTCTGAAAATGTTCCTCCTTTAAAAGAAAAAAAAGGAAGAAAAACCTCAGCATGGGCATTAGCTTCGCTCCTGAATGGACTTCCCCAGAAAGGGAATTTTCTGCCAGAATATTCCTGGACACTTACCAGGTGATCCCTGTTCTCTTTTCCACAATCGGAGAAGCTAACCTAACGTGTTTCCTAATGCAATAGCTTGGGGCTGTCCAACTGGGGCTCTGCGGGTTGCCCCTCCCCTCCCAGCTCCTGTCGGCCACTGCTCCCCTCAGGCTGAAACAGCAGCCAGTCTCCCCACCCCAGGTGACAGGGCAGTGTAGTGCAGCTGAGGCAGCCAAGGGTAACCCCGGGACCAAGCGGGTGCATGATACAGGACTGGAGGGAGAGAGAGCAAGGCAGAGCAGGTGAGGTAGGGAAGCAACTGCACAGCAAAGCAGGGGGGTGGTCTGCAGCATGCGGGATGAGGCTCAGCACAGGACAGCACAGCCCGCATGGCAGGCAGCCCCTCTCCTGCAACCTGTTTAAAAAGGTGTTTGGCCCCCAGCCACTTAGAAGGCAGAAGCCCTACAAGGGCTAATTTGGGAAGGCTACCATGCCACCTGGAAAGATGCTCAGATGCGCTGGGGACAGACTTGAACATAGGATTGGTTCACTCTTCAGGGTTTCTTATAAATGTTATGTTACGTTACATACAGCAACAGAACTGGTGCCCTTACTGCAAAACTTGGGCATTTTTCATCAGTTTCCTTTAAAGGGGTTAGAATCCTAGTGCTAACAGACAATAAAAGATTAACTGGCCTTATCTTAGAACTTAAATGTTTGAAGCTCCCAGATACTAAGCCCTAAGGACTTTGGCACTTGTTCCAAATTCAGCGCAAATACAAAAGGCCACACTTTCTATTTAACAGGCTATTGGTGAAATAACTCTAAATGGCCTCTAGAATTAACCTCCATGTAGTAAGACTAGCCCTTGTAAGGGAGAGTGAGCTGTTAATGGACTACCTGCAAGCTACATGACTCTTTATAGTCTAATATCTCAGAACAAATAGCCCCACAGGTGTGAACAGCTATCGTTGAAGTGCTGAGTGAGAGCCAAGGGATGGAGAAGTTAAATAATTTTGCATGGAAAACACCATGTAACTTATTTTGCTTTAACCTAATCTGAAGGGGATCACTGAGCCGTAAAAGTTAAAATCTCACATTTGTCCTGTGAGCCAAGAGACGCTATTGGAATATTTTAAGACCGGTTTTATATTGAAATTAAGTAGTCAGAAATCCAAAATAACGCAGGTGCGTGGGCTCCGAACATGCCTTTTTTTCTATAACCACCCACAACCTGTCTACTGAATGGCTTGGTTCCCCTCCACAGAGCTGATAAGATGTATAAGTGAAAGGATACTCCACAGTACAGCTTGTATTATGTTCACTTTATTCAAATATCTCCTATCCCCCTCGCCTGCCACCCCTCACAGAAGCCTAAACAGTTGTATGCAACAGCCAAAGTTACTATGGTTTACAAAAGAGTCATTTCAAACTGGTTGGGCAACCTGTTTCCCCGAACTCAGTCACACTATAGTCTCATCACACTGCTTTCATCACTACATTTGGCTTCCGTGGCTGTAATTCATTACCTGCCCCTGCTGTAGTCGCCATTCTGTTCCATCTGTGAGGCTGGCAAATCCTTCTGAGAATAGCTTTGTTCTTGGTGCCCTGTCAACACACTGGTATGTCGCTCCACACCAAAATTCCTGGAGCTGGTTCTGTTCAGTGGTCCATCCCCTATCGACACAGTACCAACTGCAGCTGGGCTTTCTGCAGAGTGTTCCGAGCTACCCGAGGGCCGGAAGTGAGGCTTCACACTGTGCAAAGTAAAAGAAGGTACTGTGATGATTTACGACTTAAGGACAGAGTTGCACCAACTCGAGTACTTGCAAATCAACTGACCCAAAAGCATTCTGTTGGTGTAAAAACCCACCAAACCACACATCCCTGCTTTACCAGGAAACAATTCCATCATTAGAGTAACTCTGACTTTCATTACAACCGTGAGCGTGCTGCATTGCTGCAAGTCAGCTGCCCTCTCAGTCACACATGAAACCTTCGGTGAAAGTGACTGGTGCGCCATCACGTGCAAGAGCTTCAGAGACAGAAGCTAATTCACCAATGTGGCATTCAGGTTTCTTGCTCATGAGACCATCTTCACTCAAAGCTACTGCCTCATTCAGTGTACAGCTTCCAACAGTAGCAGCAAACAGGGTTGCAGTGCCCATCCTCTATATCCCTTTTCAGTACACAACCCCAACACACTCCCAGAGCAAGATAGGGAAGAAAAAAAACAAATCAAATAATTAGACACACATGGATGTCTTTTTTTTTTTTTTTCCAAATAGGCAACTAATTCTTGCATTTCCTATTTAAACTACTTGACTTTGCAAAATCATTTAAATACACTATCATTCTAAGACAAGAATTCTCACTTTGCGAAGAACTGTCATCCCAATCCCAAATCCCAATTTATTAAAACATGAGACTGTCTTTAATTTGCTTCCTCTTTATTTCTTTTTTA